CCTACATTTTTTGGCAAATCCTCGGGCAAATCTGAGTTTAAACAAGAATTTTGACATTTGATTAGCTGCATACTGCAGTATAAACCCAATCAAATGTCTTAATACCGGATTAAACAATAATCCTGGATTATTTTTTTTTTGTGCAACTGGCCGCCAATTTTTTAAAAGACAATTCGTTTAGCCAAAAGTACTTCTATTCAATTTTTAAGAGAGCGTTAATTATCAAAAATGAATGCGGTTTGTAAGATTGTGTTTAATCAAACACAGTCAGAAAATAAAGTTATAATTTTATTACCCTTTAGTTATCAAGCGAAACGAGTGCTATCTTACTGATTCTCCGATAGCTTTCAGGATGTCTGAAAGGTAGGTATACATTCGATTGCCTTCTTTTATGGAGTGAATTTAGTCTTGTTGAAATTACGAAAGGAAGAATATAGTGCGACCAGTCAATTTGCGAGTCAATTTGTCTACGGGAAGTGCAAAAACTCTCCTTATATACGTGTATGTAAGCCGAGATGTACCTAAGCGTTTTAAGTGAATGTGAATCTCTGTGTACAAGCACCGAGTATTTTAATCTGTGGTACAAGTATGGAAAGTTACAATTAGAAATGGGAAACGGGAGAAAATATTGGTTAACCGCAAGAGCAAACAACTAAGGAAATGTCGAGGGAAATGTATAGAGGTTAAGAAGCCCTCGGATTTTACCAACGATATACACCCAGGCACGAGGGGTGGGAACGCGTTATTTGTAATCTCGTAAGAAATTATTTGTAAAATATTTGTAATTCAGATCCATTTTCTAACGTCGTTGACGATTATCACTAGTTAAGTATACAGCAGGGTGGCGAATTTTTTAAAAAAACGCACGCCTTGATTTTCCGTTTCATAAGGGCATAGTTTAGAAATTCAATCGATACAACCCCAAAACTCCTTGTATCTACCCTGCAAGTTCGGAAAATTACAATCCGCCATGTTTTTTTTGAAAAAATGCGCAATATTTGTTTCGATTTATACGGTTCTTTCATCAGGCACGAGATCAGGCATAATGAAAATTGAAAGGAAAAGCCTCGTCAATTTTTTTCTCTGAAAAACAGAAAATACAGAAAACTCTTACTTATCCTATTTTATTTAAGTAGTTGGTTTAAGCTACGACGAAAGTGAAATTTGGAGTGCTCATTTATCAGATCATGGGTTTTCTGGAGGGTTTTCTTTAAGAATATTAACGGAATATTATGATTTTCAAGTTTTAGATATTAAGTTGAATAATTTTAGGTGAGATACTTTAAAAAATGACATTTGGCGAAGGTCAATCACAAACTCGATCACAAATTTCCTTTTTCCAATAAAGAACCTAAAAAAATTATCTGAAAGTGGAAGAGGTCTTAGCCGCCCCGACGTGATTTAGTTTCTCTGAACAAAAATTCGAAAATTCGAAAAATTAAATTTGAGAAAGGATGTGTTACATAAGAAAATAAATACTATTCAAGTACTTTCCAATTCTTCAATTAAATATGGGGTGTTCCCTTAAAAAAAATTAGTTTGATACTGGTGTCCAGAAATATTTTAGACACATGGCGACAGTAATTGTACATTTTTTTCGATATCTTTTTTGTTAAGGAATCCGTGGGGTCTTAAATGTTACACCCTGTACTCTACTGATGACAATGTTTAACCTCCTTTCTCCCCTTATTTTACAAGATGGAGTAAAATTGAGAAAAATGCAGCGGAGCATTTAGTATCTGTATCTCGATCTGTATAATTTCCTTGTTTTGAAGATTTTCTATACAGCGTGGAATTTTTGTTCCGAAATCTTGGAAATATTTACTTAAAAAAGGTTTTTATGATATCGAAAGTTATCAAAAGTTAGCTAACAATCTCGCTAACAATATATAATATATTTAAATTTGTGGTCTGTGGCATCGTCAGTGGCTTATTTCTACATGCTCAAGGGGGTATATTGTTTTTAATGATTATTAAAAAGTACAGTTTTTTGGATATAGCAGCACAAAAGGAAGAATATGTAATAGAAACCAGGTGTCAAATTCTTGACAGAATAGCTTCCTAGCTGAAACCAAAAATTGCCAACATATTCGTTTAAATTGCTTCATAAACAAGATCGTTGCGTTTTGCACATATGCAACACAATTTTTTGACTTTGACAATTTTTTTCTCCGTTTTTTGATAATATAACCCGGCCCAATTTTTTGTAGGTTGTACACAGGAAAATAAGGTCTTCCAAATAATAGAATAAAAATTTTAGGTTGCTATTTGAAAAAAAAAGTTCGATGCCGTTACGGCGCTCCAAAATTTTTTTTTCAAAAATCCGGCCCGTTATTTTTCTGTTCGGTATGCCTAAAACATATATACAAAATTTCAACAAAATCCGTCGAGCCGTTTTCTCAGAAAATTGCCAACAAACGTACGTACGTACATACAGACGGAAAAAAATTTTATTCTTTAAAAGTTGCTTAAAATGGTCTAAAACGTCGACATTTGATGAAATTTTGAAATGTTCAAAAAATGGCTATCGCAATAGCTACCTAGCACATGCTAGGAAGCTAAAAAGTGGGTACTACTCGGGGTACTATTAAAAAATGTGCCCCCTTGCCTATGTAAAAGTGCGCCACTGGCCACAAATTTAGAGTACTTTTATAATTTTGGATTCCATAAAAAATGTTCTTGCAATACCCCCCATCTCCATCTAAAAGAAGGAAAAGGAACGTTGAATCTGTCTTTTTGTCCTGGAGGTACCCCTTGATTCTAAGTCCTTCTCCAAAATCTTTAACACTTTTAGCATTTAGAAGGGGACCATCCACACAAACCCCAGGGCAAGAAAATATGATCTTGTGTAAGACCTATAGCCGAGCCTATAGCACTAAGTAACTTGAGTGCAGTTGAAAGTCGAAAGACAAATGAGGTGCCGGGAAAAGCTCATTCTTTGGATTGCGATAAAGCTCGCGATGTGCTGGTAACCCAAAAATATACAAAATTAATATACTTATTTTCTATGTCACACTTCCTGTCTGTTCTGTGAACCTAGACTTAGAGAGTTCAATGGAATAATATTGCATAGTTGCATACAGGAAGGTGGCATGGATTATTGCTCGGATTATTGCTTATGGTTAGTTAGTAGCTACAAGTGGAAGACTAAGGTCGAACCTGTTGATACCATCAAAATGTAGCTGTATTATTATCTCGATTATTATATTTAAATATAGCACTTAAATAAAACCCAAGATAAATCCGAGGATAAATCATAAAGTATTTGAACTTAACTAAAATCATGCATATGCACATTTTTGCATATTTATTGCTGACAAGAAATATGCAAAACCTATTGCTGGATAAATCCTATTTACTTAGAGGTGTTTGGACACAAAGTATACAAAAGTTGTGATCGAGGTTGTGATTGATATTGAATCTGCACACATCATCCCCTAGTCCCTTAATCAATAGAATTTAGCCAATAGGCTCTATTTCTTTAGAAATAATCTCGGAAATAAGTTTCAAACTGGAGGTTTTTCTTAAATGATTCATCCCTCAAATATCGCCTATAACATTTATAATCTTGATTTTATTAGAAGTCATTTTTAAAGATCCAAATTAGCGGGTTTTATCCAACCCTGAATTGCAGGCAAATTGAACGTAGTCGAGGTATGTGCTTCTAGTTCAAATACAGAAAACACGGATACAACATTTATCTAAAAGCGTCTTCCATCTGATTATTTATCAATTGGCATTTCATAATCTGTTTAATTAGCGCTGGCCATAAATAGTGAACAACTGATTAACCGGTTATTCGATTTTGATTAGTCGGTTAATCGCAAACTCGACCGTATTTAACCGAGTACCGGTAACAGCTCAGGTAAACGAGTTAGTAGTACATCACACCAATCGATTAATTGCGACTATAAGATGGATCAATAACGAACAGTGAATATCGGGTTAACCGGTTATTCGATTTTGATTAATCGGGTAACCTCGAAGTCGACCTATCATTAATCGCTAGTAGGTGATTAACCTCGTGAGTAACCCCGATGCATGATCATCGGTCAGTAGAAGCGAATAACCGGCATAGTCCCCGATAATCACGAATAACCGAATAACCCACTGATTAATGGAACTAAAATTTATTGATTATCGCCGGGTAGTCCTGCGAGTTGTATAACTTCACATTCTGGCCAGCCTAACCCTAAATTGAGGAAATGTAGGTAATGCCCTATGTAGAACAGACATAATTTACAGTTTGCAGCATTGGTTAATTATTCCTGGTTATTGTCAATTTAGGTATAGGTATATCAGAATTAAGTACCGATGGTAATCCATAGGCGTCCACGAAAATCATAATTACCATTAAGTACATGACATGGCTTTCGTAGACCCCTATGGATATGCCAGATCTAGTTATTTGTAGCAGAGTTGATTTAGACAGAAGAGGATGGCCAAATTAATTACTATTTCAACTTTCCAAAGAAATATGTTGGACAATCTACCAAGACTAATGAATTGGGGAGCAATAAATAATAAAACGAATCCAAACGGCTGTACTAAACGATTAGAATCGTATAAAAGTGGACAATGTCGACTTTTAGCATTGGAATTAGATCGAAATGAAATAGACAAAAATCAGTGTCTTAGTGGGTACATTCCTGCTACAAAATCGAGATGAAAATAGAGTGAGGTAACTCTGCAGTCTCGGAGAATTGTCGGTTATTGACTTTTAAAACTACCGTGTGTGTGAGTGTACTTAGCAGGATTGAATTGCACAATTTTTACCCACGCACCATTTTCTTATGTAACCCAATAGGGCACTCCGCGCTCTGCGACGGGGAAGGTTCGAATTTGAATGAATTCTTATATGACCCAAATTTGATCGAATTCACGAAGTGCCGCCTATGAGACGAAAATGAAACAGCTGAGAATCTGCGTAGGCCACGAGGTGATACAACAGCTTGTTTGGATCAATATTAAGCGAAATCGGCTTTTCTGCTACGAATTACCTTTTAGGCTTCCAACGTCGCTTCAGCACCCCCAACATCGAGAAAATTGCTAGCCACAAATGACACAATCAGATTTGTTTATCAATAAACTGCACTCACAAAATAATACCAACTTCTTTTATTAAATTAGCACGAATTTGTTAATTATTAGATACATTATTTCCACCTAAATTGGTCCTTCAAGTTTAAAGCGAGGAAGCGCGAACGACACATAATACGTGTGTACAGTACGTTTACTTCTTAATGCGAAGAGCAGCTGAGCTTCACAGAACCCAAAATAAACAAGCCACTACTGGGATGTCACGTGACTTCGAACTAGAACGTCATAGGTAATATGGTCCCACCAGCGCGCATGCATCTCGTCCACTTCCACTTGACTACCTGTAAATGCAGTGGCGTGCTACGAACTCGAAACACACATTTCTCATTACTGAAGCTTGGTCTTTTCTACAAAGAAGAACTAATTATTCGTCTTAGTGTGCTTCGATTACATTCTAAGCCACTGTTTGTGTGCGTAAAGTAATCGATTGCTCAAATACAATGATTTTCTGCCAACTAACAGAAGACAGAAACGTCGTTTCGTTATTAGATGCTACGAAGGTAGTGCCTACAATTCTAGGCCTCAGAGCCAGCCACAGGACACTTCAAGTCTGATTAGCCTTGGAAGAACAAAACATGAACTTTATGCCAATAAGTTTTCTTACAATTGTCACTAAGGAGCTGTTTCCTTACTCGAGAGGGTGTTACTCCTCAAGACATTAAAGATCGGTTGGATAAGGTGTATCATGAAAATTCGCCGTCTTATTCTGTTACGGTGGATGTGATGAACGACGAAAACATCGTCCTTGTTCAGAATCGACGTAAAAGAGAAAGACTTTCTGACACACCTTTTCGCCGAATCATCCAGGATCATTTGGGAACGTGTTAAAGATGATATTGTGGGATTATGAAGGCATTCTTCTTATTGACTAAAAAAAACGCATACTATTTTGATGCAATATTTCATTATACAGTGTCTTAATCACATATGCCTTGGTGACTGTGTGCCAACTTACAAAACAATTGCGACATTAATAATTTTATTATCTGTCAGTTTGTGTCATCGCGCTTTGGATTTATGCATCGAAATGATTATACAATCGAATCAGAACTGTTATAAAATTCCTCAAAGCAAGGAAAACCTCCAAAAATTGTTCTTAACCAAATGTTCGTTGTATACAGGGATGATTGCCCTTATAAGTCAACTATTTGCGAGTGGTCAAAATCGTTTAGGCATACTCAAGAATCACTGGATGATGATCGCCGTTGGTACTGCATGATGCAAGACAATTAGCAGCTTCACTAGGAGTTTTGAAATGAAAATGAAACCTGGGTTCATCATTATGATCCTGAATCGAAACAGGAGTCGATGTAGTGGCATGTTAAGGGCTCCAAACTCCTCCAAGAAGTTTTAAAGTCGCCCCTTCCGCAGGAAAAATAATGACAAGCATTTTTTGGGAGTCTTATTGAATTTTGCTGATTGATTATATGAATTATAGTAGCACGGTAGTGGGAGACTATTATGTAAACCGGATGCATCACTTTAGATGTGTTATTAAAGTGAAGAGACGCGGAAAACTAACGCAAGATGTCTCCACGGCAATGAACCAGTACGCAAGTCCAGACTTTCAAAAGCCACCCTTGGAGTGTAACGCGCCACCTGTTGCTTGCTAATTTTTTCGCGTAGCGAGAGGTGTAGCGCGCTACTTCAAAAAAGTAGTGATATTTAGCTGTATCATGTTACAATTTTTGTAGTTGTAGCGCGAAAAGTAGCACAATTAACGTCGTTACTTTTAATTTTTAAATGATGGTCAAAATTACGTCGTGACTGAACGCGAATATGGCAATGGAAAATGCATGTACAGGCCATCTAGGTAAATAAATAAAATATTTGTTTACTCGTATTTCGTAATTTCTAGTATAATAAGAAATAACAAAACAAGATGTAGCGCGAAATTAGCGCGCTACATTTTGTGTGGCAATGAGCTACATTTAAAAGAAAGTATCGAAAAAGTAGCAAAGTTTTTTTTTGAGACAAATAGCGGTAGCTGTAGTATGCTACTATTTACAAGTAGCGAGTCCAAGGCTGTCAAAGTGGCATAGCTGATTCATTTTGTTTCGAAGAAATTGAACGTCGGCCTTATAGTCCCTGGCACCCAGTAACTATTTTTTGTTCCCGAATCTTAAAAAAAACACGAAGAGGGACCAAATTTAGGGACAATGGCGAACTTATAGCAGCTGTTGAGGGCCATTTTACGGAAAAACCAAATGAATATTTTTATACTATATTAAGGTTGTTAATGAAAAATAAAATTTTGTTGTTGCTGTATATTCTTTTGTTTGTATGCTTAGTCCGGGGATATAACGAGTATACGAAGAATCGCATACTATTTTCAGAAGGGGAATGCCATTCAGGTCGCATTCGGAAACCAGACTTTTAATCCGGCCCATATTCAATAGCACTGATCCTTCAACTGATAGAAATCGATCGGCGAAGGTTTAACATCTCTATTCGTTCTCGAGTTAGACGAGGAACAGATAGACAGACGGACAAAACCATCACATAGGGAAAAATTTTTTTCTTTCGAAACGTTCCCCTAAAAACGACCCCACGTATTATGCCGACACTCCAACACAAATTATGGCAGAATATTCAGAAGGAAAGACGTGGAAATTTGCTGCGTGACAATGCAGCTGTAGTTGCGCAGGTCGTACCTCGGGGTTTTGAATAAATCTACTCACCCCCCCCCCCTATAAAAAAACCTGTAGGTAGATTTCTTCCACAGAACCACCATTAAAGCCTTAAAAACCCTTAACAGTGTATTATCCCACGCCTTAATTAAAAAATGGGCTATACGAAATTATTCACGAACTCAAAATCGGCTACAGAACAACAATTAACAGTTTTATTTTTATTATTAGTTTTCAGCCAAAACCTTAGACAAGAGCTGTGAATTGTATGCACGAAAACATGGTAAAATATTGCTCATATGTATCTAGAAAATTAGTGCAAAATATGCAAACAGTTTTGATGTATATGCAAAATTGTATATCTCGCATAATTTCCAAGAAAAAAGGAATCACGATAGACACTAGCGTTAGTATGTTTCTCTAAGTCTCAAGAAATGATTGCCTCCTGTCGCTACGAAATAATTTATAAGGACTAAGCAGAAACATTTCTCTCTACATCAACAGAACTAAGTGATAGGTGCATTAGAAAGGGCCGACAAAATATTGGGACCAATTTCCAAACCTTCCACATTATCACCCATCAACGCCGTAGAGAAAAAGGAAATAGTTTGAAAATGAAGAAATTAAACCACAATTAAATCAATAAATCTTCCTTCTGGCTATGTTTCATGATCATGTCCGTTAGAAAATCCGCAAGAATGTGTTAAAAATTCAAATTAAAATCGATTAAATCTAGCAAAAATTTAACTATACATTTTAAAATACGCAAAATATGCAGATTTATAATGTAAATGCAAAGAAATAAATTGGGTTTAATCGCTTCAAAATATTGCAAATCGAAAATGCACAAAATCCATACGAGTACAACCAAAATTTTGCATATATTCGCAGCTTTACTTATTACCATTAGCCATTTTCCAAAACTTGAGATACTATCTGGAACTCAAAGCCAAAAATTGTAACCAGAAACAATCCCTAATATTCCTTGAGCATTTAGAGCTCCGATATCCATCTCCTAATAAAATTATTCTTCGATTAAACAGTGCGGCAGCTCCCTCATGTGACGTGTGCAGTTGTATGCCCCCTGAGTTTTTGAGAGGATTCTTATTAAACACCTATAGGAGCTTAAAAAAATCGGCCACGTTGTCCAGATCAGGGTCATTTGATCGCCATAATTAAAAATGGCCGCCACGTTGCTAATTTTTGTTTTGTTTAAGTATATCTTCCCACACAATAGCTCGATTTAAATTTTTTAAAGAAAGTTTTACTGATTTTTTGAAGGCAAACAACATGAAAATGTATTATCTTCTTTAAATTACAAATCCTATAGGTGTTTAACAAATCCCCGCAACAAAACTGTAGTCGAAACACCGACCCTCCACAAGAAGGCCCGAACAGCTATCGGAACTCAAAAGTTGTACCAAAAAATGGCGTTAAGTGTTCCGTTGGTCTTGAAATACGAAAAGGCCGGAATCAGGTGTACCCCATAAGTTTATTACGGAAAGAAAACTATAATCTGGAATTGGATTGTCAAAAAGTCCTTTAGTACATTCCCAAAAATATAGAAGGGTACTTAGTCGAGGAAATGAAGGTTTTGCCCTGGCAATTTTTTCAAAATGAATCGATTAACTTTTGACAGTAGGTAGGGAATAGCCTAAGGATCAAAATCTATATCATGCCAAAGGGCGCTTTCTCCCTGGGGGTGGTTACCACCCCACCTCAGGGGTGGTAATTTTTTATTGTAATTTTTATACAGAAATAGATAGAAGAATTAATCTTAAGCAAAAAGTGTTCTATACAGTTTTTTGGGAAGTTAAATACTTCTCCAGTTATTCGCGACCGAAAGTAGGTATGAGTTTTTCATAGAAAAGATCAATGTTTTTAATTGGTTATTTGCGAAAAACTCGAAAAGTATGCATTTTATAAAAAAACCGTAGAGAACAAAATCGTAGCTTTTATAAAAACAAAGAAAATGGTTTTTTAAATAATTGATGTATGACCAATACGAACCCAGTTTTGGCTTGTTAAAGATTACCTCTTGTTCGTCAAACGCTAAATTAGAGAATTTCACAGTCAAATAAGTGCAAAACTATGCATTTTTGGAGAAAAACTTGTGGAATATTCTTTATAGTGTTTAAAAAAACCTTTCTTCTTTTTTTAAAAACAAACTTTAGCATAAAAGTTAAGTGAGTTATGATGAAAATAAGGTAGATCGGTACTTTTTGAGCGAAAAAATTAGCGCCAGCAACCCCCTAATTACCACCCTCATTAAAATTAGTCCTCCTTTTCCAGTTTTCTCTAATTACGTATTATTAACACATTCTAGAAGTGCGACCAGTTTAGAAGACATAATTTTCAAATAATTAAAGTTAAAAGTGAAAAACGAATTTTTGCAATTTTGTAAATAACGCCAGAAAATTTTCGAAAGTGACATTTTTCTGTTTTTCGGTCATAAACTTCGTTATTTGTACAGTTAGAAAAAACTGTAATTGGGAAACTAAATCTACATAAAATTCTGCAATTCTTTGCGACTTTGTATCTCTTGCAGTTCACGAGCTCCCCATCGAAAAAAACTCACCTTGTATATAGATTTGCTGCCAACCAGTCACCCACCCAGCAGGTCAATGTGAGATTAAAAGCTACCTTTTTACAAATAAATTTGCAAAAAGCGTTAAAAATGAAGAAAGTTTTTTTATATTCCAGTGCTACAGGAAATTTTGAGACGTTTCTTGGTCAAAATTTTCAGTTATAATCACAATTCCAACGCTCCTCAAGAGGTTTGAATTGGAGACGTATAATAAGAAAAATATGGGGATTTTTACTTTTGCCACTTAGAAACTCAAAGAGTTTTTCTTGTAAAAAGTTAAAATTTTGACTAAAATATCTCATAATAAACAAATCACGACACCTTTTCGTATTCTAAGTGCCAACGGAACATTGTGGGCCGTTTTGGTAGGCTCTCAACAGTTCTGGAAATTTCACTAGGAAGGATTTGGATGGTGTTTTATAATTTAAAAAGTTGGAGGACACTAAGAAATACAAAACAGATTTTTGTTCAGTAACGAAGCTTTTCGGTGAACCTTATAATTAATTTAAGAGGCGTGTTTCAAATGCTTAAGGAATATTCTGCTTCTGGTTAGAATTTTTGAAAAATACGAATTTTTAACGTAAATTGTACGTGCTAATATTGGAATGTATCTTCACTTATGTGCAAAATTAAATTTTTTGTTGCTACTGAATTAAAACTTTGACCACAAGGCAGTGTTTTGCCGTTTTTTCGGCGAAATTGGTAAATCAATGTTTAAATCAGTTTATGGGTACCTACAAGTAAGTGATGAATAATAATAAGTTTACATAAATAAATCACGTAATTAAATTTATGTTACAATATTAACTCCCCAACGTTAGGAAATGCAGTACAAAAATGGGGAAAAAACTTTAGTTCTGAAGATAATTATTAATTATAAATTAATTATACGTGTTAACATTAATAAATGCTATTAACGAAAGCTTATTATATTTGTCGTCTTTATAAGTCAGGTAAAATTTGGTGGGATGCGTATCATGATAGCTTAGCTACATTAAAAAATCGCCCCAAATAGTTTTTTAAGTAACTGACATACCTACTGGTTTAATATAAGACATGAAAATTTAATCATAATTTCAGGGGTTTGTTGTTTTAATTAAGGTAATTTCATCCTTGACATAGGCAACGTATTCACCTTGTAATTGTCAGTTAATGTGAAATTGACAACCCTTAAAATTTGGCGGGAAAAATTATGTGACGAATCCACTTTACATCAGCAGAGACGCCACTGCTCTCTGTAGTTCAAATGTCAGAACTTTAGACCCAGTTTGAACGTTTCATAACCTCACTTCAAAATATCAAAACACGGTGTGCAATGCGTAGGTATTTACTAAACGTATCATACATTGGCACACTCTTTAGGTTTGTACACATTTCGTTTGCTCTCCAAGTTACAAGTGCATTTATAGAGGTCTTCAGCGACAAGTTGGTGTCGCAGAAGCAGAGGGAAGGGCAAATGATTTCCTAACCGTTCAGGGACAGATTGAGTTTGGTTTGAAGAGACTACACCCTGTCAACGATCCATGTGTTGTACTATCGAGCAGGTTGTACTCTACCGCTAACGATCTCTCAGTTTACCACCTTATTTCAGAACGGATGCAGGTGTTCACGCACTACATAACACCATGCACGTCGACTTGCAAAGGGAAGGAGAAATGCCTTATGAACCTTCGTATATTTCGGCTCGTTTAAACCAACATTTTATGAAAAACGAAATACCAATCAGAGTGCTATCAACTTATTTAGTTCCCGATGACTTCCACTGTCGACACAAAGCCATTTCACGCACATACCTCTACAGGCTGGTCGTGATTAAAGATAACACAACAATGATAACACAGCATTTACCCCTACAAGAATTCGACCGCTCAATATATATAAGGTGCCTCGTCAAGATTGCACAGATTTAATTCTAACAGAAAACTCAGTTCTAGCGAATTCAATTTTGAAAAATTAAAGGAAGCAACTCGACTATTCGTTGGCCATCACGATTTTCGATCGTTCATGCATAAAGCGAGTAAGGCGCCCGATTTGATCACGAGAAAAGTTATGGAGAAGTGTGAAGTTTTGGAAACGAGACCGTTTTGGTCAGAATCGTATGCGTGGCCTTACTGTGTTAGTGCAAATAGGGAAAATTACAAAGCGTACGAGATAACTTTAAAAGGGAGTGGATTTTTGCACAAGCAGGTAAGGTGAAAATGGGGTGAGGTGCCACAGAAATTACTTATTAAGCTCCCTTATTATTGTTTAGCCTGACCATTCAATGGCCTGACATAGTCCGCCCCTTGCTGGTAAGATAAGCACAGCACAGTAGCAGTGTGGGTTGCGTGTCGTTAGGCGCATTTTTTTTTCACGTACAGTAGTGCGTTGTTTTTGTAATTTTGGGCTACTTTTTCCCTTTCTCGAGGATAATAGTTAGGAAAATGACTGGTGAGGAAATATTGAAGTGCGAGGGCCCTTCGGGGCCGAGTACTTTAATTTCCGAGTCAGGTAATGACATTTTACTGACGAGTTTTGTATTAAATTTTACCCGAAATCGTCTTTTAATACAAAATTATAATTTTTATATAGAACTTTTGATTAATGTCAATCTGTCAGTGATGACAGGAGTCATTATAGACATTTGGAAATGTCAAAAATGCGGCCGGTAAAGTGACGGTGCGGCCGGTAAAGTGACAGGTGCGGTCAGTAAAGTGAAAAGCGGCAGGAAACGTAGTCTGCTCTGCCCCTGTCATGGAAACTCAAATTTCCTGACAGAAAGTAGGCATGAAAATGGAGGTTTCAGGAAGATTTTGGGTAAAAAATGTTTCCTTGAAGGTCCGAGAAGGAATAGACTAATTCTAAGCAACTTTTGTTCTACATATAAAGTTTTGACTGAAAGTTAGTATTTTTCGATCTATTCGCGAGTGAAAATGTGCAAAAAGTGTCCGACGCCAAAATTGAAAGCTGAAAAAAACAAAAAACTGCATTTTTCAGCGAAAACTCGCGTAAAAAAACTTTTTTATTATACCTGAATCACAATCTCCGTTTTAAACACTCAAATGCGTGCGAAAAAGGGCCTTTAAAACACACGTGCTTTAAAGTTGCTAAGTAACGATACTTCAAGTATGACTTTTGAAACTGTCATCTGGATGAAATAAAAAATCCTCTTAGGTCGCTTTCTGTAAATGCAGAACATTTCTTTGGCTTTTGTACCTATCCTTTGGTTGAAGCTTTCACAAACGCGCGTAATTTAGGGTATGCTTCCAAATCTGTTCCACTTTTTAATCGCAGCATTGCTTTAAAGTTTTGAATGAATGCACCAAAATATAGAAGATTTAAATACCTTTGACATTTCCTTCATATATGCCAGCATTATGGATGCATTTAAGGCTCTATTCGTAAGTAACTTCCTATTCATCCATGGAAACAACTTTTCATATTCTTTATAATAGGCTTTACTGGAGTTGGATTTTACACCTACCAACGTTTGTTTAGATTTTACAACAATCGATTTAATGGACGGTGTATTATCTTTTTCAACGGAAATCATTTAATTCACAAAGACGATGATTTTTTAAGCAAACGTCAAGTGACATTTCCATGGCAATCGTGAAATTACGAACACCCAGCCCACTTAATTAGACATGTATTCGAGTATAACGTCAATATGACTTCATTGTATTTCCTATTTTTAAATTATACTGCAGGTATAATAAAAAATACTATAAGATACACGTGTATAATTCGTCTTTAAAGCACTTGCAACGTTAAAGGCACTCCGCTTTGCGTCGTGCCCTTAAACTCGTTGCGCGTGCTTTAAAGACTTGATTATACACTTGTATCTTAATATACTATTATTTATGTTTTTCTTTTAAACATCCCTAGCACTAAGAGAGTTCTGACAAAGATAATGTTCTCGTATGGAGGTTAAATTTTACCATCAATGAATTTAGGATTTCTAGGGGATCCTTAATCTAAAGCAAAATATTTGAACCCCAAAAAGGTGGTATAATCTACGGTTGAAGGCATTTTTATAAAAAATTAAAAATTCCGCAATTTTTTAACGGTTTTAAAGTTTCCTGAATTGAATGGCAAGAATTCCAGATCTTTTTTATCTCAGAGAGACTAAACCCATGGCTTCCTACCGTTAAGATCTTTGACCTCTAAAGAATTTACTGCCTACATAGATTTTGTTGTATTAATGTCGTAAAGGGACTTTTGGAAGGTTTAACGATATCCCAAAGCGTTTAGCTTTATCCCTTTAAGATTGTGACATGTTGCACATTTTAGAACTCATCACAGAAGGTTAATTTTCCAAGGGGTCAATTACATGTTGGTGCAGCCCCAATTGCCTTATCTCTACTGCCCTAAAGTTCCCTGATTTAAATACAGTTAGCAACAAACGAATTCCTGGTTTACCCAAAAAAAACTCAAGCTGGAAGTTTCCATCGTTGCGCACGTTTTCACCCTCTCAAGGATTTAACATTAAGTAAATAAATTAAAAATGACGTTTCACAGTCCCTTATTAGATGTTTAGTTTTTGTAATTTTTAATCAAAATTACAAATTACAACAGTCATATGCATTATAGGTAATTTAAAAGAGTATTTTCCAATTACTCATTCTTATCTGACCAGCGTTCCAATCGGATGTTTCTACGTCATTTTGAACCAGATGTACTTATATTCGAAATGCAGATTAATTACGCAAAATTGATCAGTATCCTTAAAATGGTTTAAAAACATCAATTAGCACATGAAATGCAATCCATTTATAGTTAAAAAAAAATGTACCTTTAGTTCCATTGTGCTGCGTGAGTTGCAAAAACGATCTTCCACTCCAATTTTGATGGCGACACAAGAAACGACGCGATTATTAATCATCACATGCCAAAATTTTACGAAAAAGTCAACGAGAACGACACTATTCGCGACCGACGACATTAAGAGAGTGATTAATTTATTGCATTTTGAAAAACACGTCCGCCTTATCTTCAGGAACAGGTGGACGCGCTAATTTAAAACACATGTGCGAAATCTGACCAAATTAATTACGGATAAATACGAGCGAATTAAAATTTGAAAACGTTTGATATAGAGGCAGTTTTTTACTCATCTTTATTCTTGGTTTTGATTTTGTCCACTACTAAACAAATTTTCCCTTTGACTTGGCTCAAAAAAAGGAGCCGATGGACACGATAACAATGTACATCAAAGACTGGGATAGTCCAAGGACGCGTGTTCCTTCATAATTGGTCCCAATATGAACCAGAAATATTTTTCAAATCGGATTTTTTAGTCTAGTCGTTGAAGCTAAAACATGGCGATACCGTGTATAATTTTGCCAACTAGCATAAATTTGCATAAAAATTTAGATTTTGATTTAAATGACCTTTACTGCAAAGTTAATCCTTTGTCGGGGGTCGCTTTTGGTTTTTTAGGGGCGCAGATGTTTAGTTTTTGCAATTTTTGATCTTTAATCAACATACAGAAGTCCTGTATAAATAATAATTTAAGAGAGTATTTTCCAATGACTCATTTTTATCTGACCAGTTCCAGTCATACTGATAGCCAGATGTTGCCACGTAATTTTGGGACATGTTTACTTATATTCGAAATGCTGATTATTACGCAAAATTGTATGGGAGCAAGTATACTAAAAATGGTATTAAAAAAATCAATCACCACAACCCATCAGTTAAAAAAAACTGTACCTTTAGTTCCACTGCGCAGCATGGGTTCCAAAAATGATCTTCCACCCGAATTTTGATATTAATACGAAAAAACGACGCGATAATTAACCACTGCATTCGAAAATTTTACGAAAAAGTAAGCGAGAACGACACTATTCGCGACCGACGACATTAAGAGACTGATTAATTTACTGCATTTTGGAAAACACTCCCGTCTTATCTTCATGAACGGTTCGCAGGTGCCGAATATCGACGCTCTAATTTAAACACGTGTGCGAAATCTGACAAAAATAGTTACGGAAAAATACGAGCGAATTAAAATTTGAAGACGTTTGATATAGGGGCTTTTTTTACTCATCTTTATTCTTGGTTTTGATTTTATCCACTACTAAAAAAATTTTTCCTTTGACTCAAAAAAAGGAGCCGATGGACTTGGAGACGATAAAAATGTACAGCAAAAACTGGGATAGTCCAAGGACGCGTGTTCCTTCACAATTAGTCCCAATATGCACCAGAAATATTTTTGAAATGAATAAATCGGATTTCGTTGAAGCTAAAACTAGGTGATATCGTGTATAATTTTGCCAACTAGCGTCAATTTGCATAAAAATTTAGATTTGGATTCAAATGACCTTTACTGCAAAGTTGCCACGTAATTTTGGGACATTTTTATTTATATTCGAAATGCAGATTATTACGCAAAATTGTATGGGAGCAAGTATACTCAAAAATGGTATTAAAAAAATCAATCACCACAACCCATTTATAGTTAAAAAAAACTGTACCTTTAGTTCCATTGCGCAGCATGGGTTCCAAAAACCGATCTTCTACCTGAATTTTGATGGTAATACGAAAGAACGACGCGATAATTAACCACTACATTCGAAAATTTTACGAAAAAGTAAGCGAGAACGACACTATTCGCGACCGACGACATTAGAGACTGATTAATTTGCTGCATTTTGGAAAACACGGCCGCCTTATCTTCACGAAAGGTTCACAGGTGCCGAATACCGACGCGCTAATTTAAACACGTGGGAATTTGAACAAAATAACTATCTTTCGACGTTACGGAAAAATACGAAAGAATTTGAAAACAATTTTTTACTCATCTTGATTTTGATTTTCTCCCGTACCCTACGTAATAAAGAAAAAGGTTTCCTTTGACGCTCAAAAAAGTCGCAGAGGGACTTGAAAAAGATAAAAATCAGACGCAGCAAAATCTGGAATATTCCAAGGAAGCTGCTGCGTTCCTTTACAATGAGTCCCATTTCATGCAGCAGATAATATTTCTTGAATAAAAAAATCCAATCATGGACACGGCGATACCGCCCAATTTTGCCAAACAGCACCGATTTGTACAAAAATTTCGATTCCTTAATCTCTACTACAATGTTGACCCTGTGTCAAGGTTTTTTGGGGGGGAAGAAAACTACCCCTGTTCGAAAATAATTTTAAAATTGTGATCATCTCGAGTTAGTAACTCGTACCTACTGCTTGCATTGTTTATCTCGTGACTACTCGCCCTCACGTCTACACTATTCGAGATATGTGTGCGAACCCCCATCATATCGTTTCATGGTTTTGCATATCCCCGTTTCCGCGTCGGTTTGAGTGGACCTTAAGATATTTTAGGATTGAAGGGGAGAAATTTAGGGAAATTTGTTGAGAACCTGAGAGAAATTGGCAATACCTCTTTCTAACGGGAAAGTACTAAGAAAAAAAGCGCGAAAATTGAATGCATTAGAGCTCGTCAAGCATGCGCCTTTGGGCTTTCGCATGGAGCAATGCGGGATGGAATTTGCCATTGCGTAATACAAACACCATTACATTAACATTGCTCTTGCAAGAGAATTTCTAACATAAATACCAAGCCCCATTAATGATATTAAAAGGTATTGACCACACGTAATTAGGATAACTAGGATATTTAATTGCAATAATTGAAGTGTAATGCGCATTGTTGTCAGATTACACACGTCACGACAATCTTGAAATTTTGATTTATTTTGCTATTCCCATGTTATCAGCAGTGAAATACTTGCGTGCGGTTTATTATTTCCGAAATTTCTGTTTGATATCCACCTGGCACCGAAGGTAGATCGTTATTATAAAGTAGATCGTGGCAACACTGCGTGCCACTTCCTTTTTCTGTAACTTTTACGTGCTGCTACAATTCTTCCCATTGTTCTACGTGATTATTTCCTACTTTAAAAGCAAGGAATTGTATTCGGCAGTCTCCTGACAAAACGTAATTATACTGTTTATTATTTTTGTGTATAAATATTGTTAATTGTTGGTACACGCGTGTCTTAACCTAAAAGCGACCGGGTGGACTTGGAGGGAACCAAAGCGTAATGGCTTCCGTTCAGTAAATTATTTCCCGATAAAAAGGTATTTTGTGTAATACGATAATTGAGATTCTTATTTGTATAGGTCCGGCGTACCGTGGCTTCACTGATTGCTGTAGCAAAAGGTATTGTGACTCCTAAAGACATAAAATTTATGCTTGAAATTCCATCACATCATTCCTGGAATTCAAAAATTAAAACGGTACCAGCTCAAGGTCTCTACCTCTGCGAAGTGGCATATTCTAAGGACGATCGGGACACGTTTAAAGAGCGGCTCGACTAATTTTGCTTGCAAACATGGTAGGTTCACGTGTGTATGTAGGAGGGTTACCTTACAGAACGACGGAGCGGGATCTGGAGCGTTTCTTTAAAAGCTATGGTCGCATGCGTGACGTTCTGATTAAGAACGGATACGGTTTTGTTGAATTTGATGATTATCGTGATGCAGACGATGCAGTTTATGAATTAAATGGTAAAAAACTTTTAGGGGAGCGTGTGACTGTTGAACGTGCAAGGGGGACCCCGAGAGGTCGCGATCAGTGGTCTATGCGCAGTGATCACCGCTCCCACGAACGTTACGGGCCTCCAGCTCGGACGAACTACAGAGTTATCATTGAAAATCTCTCCTCGCGCGTCAGTTGGCAGGACTTGAAAGATTACATGCGACAAGCCGGCGAAGTTACATACGCAGACGCACACAAAGAGCATCGCAACCAAGGCGTTGTCGAATTTGCCAGTTACTCTGACATGAAAAATGCCATCGAAAAATTGGACGATACCGACTTGAACGGCCGCAAAATCAAGGTGGTACAAGATAAACGTTCGCGCAAACACTCCTCAAGTAGCCGTTCCAAGAGTGGTTCTCGCTCACGTAGCCGTTCCAGATCGCCGGTGAATGGTCACGGTAGCAAGTCACGATCGCGCTCCGCCTCCCGTGGAAATTCCCGCTCGGATTCCAGAGAGAAATCGGTCGAACGTTCAGACTCCCAGTCCCCAAGGAACGAGAAGAGGTCGCCGTCACGTGAGAAGTCTCGTTCTCGATCGCGTTCCGTGAGTAAAAGCAAGTCGAGAAGTCGATCTGCGGATTAATTAAGAAGTTAACGGACTAAAGTGACTTATTTTGTAAGATTTTGAGTTATTTTTTTGTAATCACTTGACGAAGTAGCATACCTGAAGTTGTATTTTCAATTGTACTTGGTAATAAATAATTGATTGATTTATAATGGACTTTTCGCAACAATTGCAAAATGCCAAAATTGGTTTAAAAAATGTAAGCTCTGTCGTAAGATATCCGGACGGTCGATCATTTCTGGAGAGTCGCGGGCAGAATACAGAAATCGAAAGCACTGTCGGTTATGTGATCGACACCAAGCCTGATGATATCCCTTCGCGAATTACCGAAAACATTTACTTGGGATCTCAAGATTGCTCCGAACTGGAGGTGGTCACCAAGTATAATATAAAGCATGTTCTTAGCCTTGGTGTGAAGCCCTTCTCATTTGCAGTCAATCACAGGTTTGTCAAGTGCCTGGATTTGCCAGAGACTAATATTCTGGACATTTTGCAACATCAATGCTACTATTTTATTAGTAATGCCGTTAAATTGAAAGAAAATGTGTTGGTACACTGTGCCGCTGGTGTTTCGCGATCATCCTCTATTGTTATTGGTTACTTGATGGTCACTGAAAAGTTATCTTACGAAGACGCGTTTAAGTTTGTTAAAAGTAAGAGATCTTGTATTAAACCCAATTGCGGATTTGAAAATCAATTGAAAGGTTTAGAATTTACAGAAATGTATTTTTGAGTTTTTTGTATTAGAGGTAATGGTTGTACAGTTTTCCTTTGGAAATAAATTTATTAGAAACCATATTTTCATAGCTTCATCGAGTACCTAAGCTCTTATTGGATCACATCTCACATGGATACATCATAAAGTTTTAGTGCCTCCACCAGGTAGGTGAATAGGTGAGGGGAGCATCTATTGATGCAAGATTTTAACCTAATAATGAAGTCATAAGTATATACCCTGATGCAGAGCTGGGCAAAGCCCTTACTGAAAGGGCTTGAAGCTCTAAGCACAAAGCCCTTAGTCAATGTGCTTCGATACTCAAGCACAAATTACTACTGGTCATCAGAAAGACTTGAAATTACAAATTACTTCAAAAAGAGCTTTGAACTTCAAGCACTTTAGGACAAGGCTTGTACACAATTTGAGGGCTTGAAGCCCAGAAAGGACTTCACTTTTCCAAGCACAAAGCACTTTTGGGAAAAGGGCTTGAAGCACTTTAGCTCGAGATCGTTTATAATTTTGTCATTGCTGTTTGTCCGTGTGCAGTTTCCCCGAGAAATTTTGGTGTAGTCGATTTTTGGTAAAATGGAAGGTTATACACTGCCTTTTTATGAGGCCCCCAAAAAAATTGTCTCAGATCGACCGGAAAAAAAACATTTTCTTATAGAATATGGCCTGTAGATTCCATAATTTCAAACAGTTCCAAGATTGGGCTACTAGATCAGAAGTTACAGCCCTTTGAATTGTCTTTCGAAATTGGTTTTTAGTCCATAACTTTTCATTGAGAAGTCTAATCGAAAAAGAACGAATCGTTTTGAATTCTACGAACCAAAATTAATTAGAAAAAGTGTTTTCCCGAGAAATTTTGGTGTACCTAGTGATTTTTGGTAAAAAAGGAAGGTTGTACACTGCCTTTTTTTGAGGCCCCAAAAAAAATTGTCTCAGATCGACCGGAAAAAACATTTTCTTATAGAATATAGCCTGTAGATTCCATAATTTCAAACAGTTCTAAGATTGGGCTACTAGATCAAAAGTTACAGCCCTTTGAATTTTCTTTCGAAATTGGTTTTTAGTCCATAACTTTTGATTGAGAAGTCTAATCGAAAAAGTACGAATCGTTTTGGATTCTACGCACCAAAATTAATAAGAAAAAGTGTTTTCCCGAGAAATTTGGGTGTAGTCGATTTTTGGAAAAAATGGAAGGTTAATCACTGCCTTTTTTTGAGGCTCCAAGAAAAAATTGTCTCAGATCGACCGGAAAAAAACATTTTCTTATAGAATATGGCCTGTAGATTCCATAATTTCAAACAGTTCCAAGATTGGGCTACTAGATCAAAAGTTACAGCCCTTTGAATTTTCTTTCGAAATTGGTTTTAGTCCATAACTTTTCATTGAGAAGTCTATACGAAAAAGAACGAATCGTTTTGAATTCTACGCACCAAAATTAATAAGAAAAAGTGTTTTCTCGAGAAATTTTGGTGTAGTCGATTATTGAAGTACAATTGCTCTACAAATCCTACATGAAATTGCACATTATCAACTGCCCTTTAAGGAAATGGCCTGTAGATTCCATACTTTCGAACAGTTCCAAGATTGGGCTACTAGATCAAAAGTTACAGCCCTTTGAATTTTCTTCTGAAATTGGTTTTTAGTCTATATCTTTTGATTGAAAAGTCTAATCGAAAAAGTACGAATCGTTTTGGATTCTACGCACCAAAATTAATAATTAAGAAAAAGTGTTTTCCCGAGACATTTTGGTGTAGTCGATTTTTGGTAAAAAAGGAAGGTACACTGCCTTTTTTTGAGGCCCCAAAAAAATTGTCTCAAATCGACCGGAAAAAATCATTTTCTTATAGAATATGGCCTGTAGATTCCATAATTTCAAACAGTTCCAAGATTGGGCTTCTAGATCAAAAGTGACAGCTGCCCTTTGAATTTTCTTTCGAAATGGTTTTTAGGCCATAACCTGTGATTGAAAAGTTTAATCGAAAAAGTACGATTCGATTTGGATTCTACGCACCAAAATTAATAAGAAAAAGTGTTTTCCCGAGAAATTTTGGTGTAGCCGATTTTTGGTAAAAAAGGAAGGTTGTACCCTGCCTTTTTTTGAGGCCCCAAAAAAAATTGTCTCAGATCGACCGAAAAAAAACATGAAATTGCATATTTTCAACTGCCCTTTAAGGAAAATTGAGTCGGACGTGGCTATTAAGTCCATAAATTAAAATGTTAATGTGAAGGTACTGTCGTACGTGGCGACATCTCATTGGAACTGGTTCAACTATAAGAAGAATTAAATTTGGAAAAGTATAGGGATTACCAAAGAGATGGCGCAAATGTACCAATTGCGTATACAAAAGACAATTCCAGATACTGGATCATTGAAGTTCATTTGCTCTACAAATCTTACATGAAATTGCACATTTTCAACTGCTCTTTAAGGAAAATTGAATCGGACGTGGCTATTAAGTGCATAAATTAAAATGTTCTTGTGAAGGTACGTGGTGACATCTCATTGGAACTGGTTCAACTATAAGAAGAATTAAATTTGGAAAAGTATAGGGATTACCAAAGAGATGGCGCAAATGTACCAATTGCGTATACAAAAGACAATTCCAGATACTGGATCATTGAAGTTCATTTGCTCTACAAATCCTACATGAAATTGCACATTATCAACTGCCCTTTAAGGAAATGGCATGTAGATTCGATAATTTCAAACAGTTCCAAGATTGGGCTACTAGATCAAAAGTTACAGCCCTTTGAATTTTCTTTCGAAATTGGTTTTTAGTCCATAACTTTTCATTGAGAAGTCTATACGAAAAAGAACGAATCGTTTTGAATTCTACGCACCAAAATTAATAAGAAAAAGTGTTTTCTCGAGAAATTTTGGTGTAGTCGATTATTGAAGTACAATTGCTCTACTAATCCAAATGAAATTGCACATTTTCAACAGCCCTTTAAGGAAATGGCCTGTAGACGCCCCAAAATTAATAAGAAAAAGTGTTTTCCCGAGAAATTTTGGTGTAGTCGATTTTTGGTAAAAAAGGAAGGTTAAGTATTCAAATACTATGCGAAGTATTCGAATACTAAATATTTGTGAAAGTATTTGAGTTACAAGTACAAATACTGCTTCTATAAAAGTATTTGAATACTTTAAAGGATTTGAATACTAAAAAGTATTTACAAAATCGAATACTGCCCAGCTCTGTCAGCCATTAATGATTTGTTGATGGTGAAGTAGTTTGTTAGGTAATTACCGAGACGTCGGTCGTCGTTGAAGTCATTGTTCAGAAGAAAATTCAAAGGTACGATTTAGGAGCCGGTACGATATGGGCAAACTTCCCCTAGTATTTTCTACACCGAACTATTTTTGAGCGCTAACTCCATTAGGTACGTTGTTTGGTCTGCTATCCCCTAATTTTCCCATATATGGCTTCTTCACGCTGTCTGGTCCACTTTTGGTACATTCAAAGAAAATATGTTCTACGTCATCATACGTTGCAATACAAGTATTTCGAACTGTCCCTTTTCTTTATTCAGCATGAGGCAACCTTATGGCCACTCAAGAATTAACTAATAAAATAATTGTCGATTATCGGAATTAATCTTTTTGTCTATCTTGCTTTTTCTGTGTGTGTTCATTTCCTCTGCCACTGTTCCCTCATTTTTTCTTCTATCTTAGTTCTCGCGCTTCTTTGTTGTTAGTTGTCGTTTTGTTCCTTTCTTAGCTTAGCCAGTAGTTCCAGAGGCTCTGCCTTGACTTATGACACACAGAACAGAAGGCTTCATAGTTAGCTTTTAGCATTATGCGCCTCACTCTGTCACGAGGCGTAATCCTGTTGAGGGCCTAGAACAAGAGGGCCAAATAAAAATAAAATATTTATCTTTCTTGTTCATATACAACTTGTTTTTTTTAAAAAATTTCTTCAATTCTCCATCTTTTCCTCTTTGCTGGTGTTTCCTGTCTGTCAATTTTTATTATCTTCACCTTGGTTATTACTAGGAGGTGGTTTGCGCTACCTTCCGCCCCTCTGTATGATCTGACATCCAAGATTATATTTTGCCTCTTTTTAAAAATCTGCACGTGGTCGATCTGGATTCCCGTGTTTCTCCCTGGGATCATCCATATGATTTTATGCTCCAATTTGTGCTTGTTAATTCGTCGTGCATTGTTTCCTTCTTTTCGATTATCCGCATGTGCTCTTCCTTGGGCATCGAAATCTCCGAAGATTTCCCCATTTACCCCCTTGAAGTCTAGTGTGTTTGTATCCATGTTGTGGTCCACCATAAAGAGTACTTATTCCTTTACTGTCTCGCTTGTTTTGCCCTTCGTAATGAAGAGCGTAGCCTATTTTTCCTTCCCCTTTCCTACTCACCTCTTGTTTATGCTAAAATTCCTATGTTATTCATTTCTTCCTATTCTTACTACATGTATATCGGTCTTGCCTTATGGTGTATTTCCATTTTTTTAAATTTCTATTAACTTCCCCTATATTCTTTTTCATGTTGGCCTCTACTCCAATGTTTTTCCAGGATCTCTTGTGTTTTGTTTTCCGTTTCCTCTGGCACTTCGTCGTTTTTGTCCTGATGCGCCCCTTGGATTACGATATTATTTATCTTCTTATCTTTCTACTAACGTATCGATTCATCTTCTTTAAGTTTAAGTTTTCTTCCTTCAGTTTCTTTATTACACGTCAATTGACGTTAATTTCGGACATTTACTTGACTTATTCCAAATTGCAAATCTCAATCAATGAGACAAAATAATCCAAATTCCTTGCTTGGTCTAATCCTTTTGTCATGGGTCGCTTCCTTCAGAAAAAATTAAAACAGAATCAGTGTGCAATTTCCTTAAAAATACTCATTTCTACAATTCAAACAAAAATTAAAATAACTTATCTACAGTTATCGACTTGGATAATGTTATCTTCTGCTACGAATGGATCTCATCTCTCCTTGGAAAAGCTTGTTTTAGGAAATAGATCACTCCGGTACGATACAGCTAACCCTCCTGC